CTCTTTCTTGGAATTCCTAGAGTGCTTGAGAAAGACTCTAAGAATTCAGATCTGCCAATCAAGAGTCGAATTGAGTGCAAGGTTAGAGATAACTTGCACAATTCGGTTGGTGTTCATTCAGCTGAGTTGATGATCATCCAGCTGAAATGAAGCCCTAGAATTGCTAGATCTGAATGCATGCATGGGGATTAGATTCTTGCTATTGATAGAAGAACCTTCACTCATGCATAGATTGAGCATGCGCTCGAGAGAGGCTGTTCATTGCTTTGGGATTTCATCAAACCAAGGTTGAATCCTATTCTACTCGAATTGCCTAGGAAACTAGTTGCTGAATTTATTTTTCTATGCATCTTTAGCTTGTCTCCTCACTTGCATACAAGGTGTTTGGTCCAATGTGTTAGAAATAGCTTTGTAGTTAGGATTTCAGATATTCATTAGTTTTACATTTCGGTTGATCAGATAACAGTAGACTGATTTATTACTAGTAGTTGCTACATAAGTCCTCGTGGGAATGATACTCTACTCACTACTCTATTACTTGAGCGGCTAGTGTCACAATGAGTCACACACATAAAAAATTATAAAAAATATAAAAATATATAGAAATTACAAAGAAATAAAAAAAATATTTTCAAATTATAGAAACTATAGAAATTGAAAAACAAAATCAGAAAATAAAAGTTGTAGAAAAAACACCAAAAATTGCAAATAAATAACAAAAAATACAAGAAAATTTATAGATTGTAGAAAATAGAAAAATGTAAAAAAAGAACAGAAATTATAAAAAATATTGGAAATTATAACAAAACACTAAAAATGCAAAAAAAAAAACAAGAAATTCGAAAATTGAAAAAGACCATTTTTCCTCTAACTCACCATTCAAGGGTAATTTGGTCATGAAAATTGCTATTTATGCTGACATGGACACCTTTGTTAAGAAGCATTAACGGTGCACTAACGGAAGGTTAGTTTTGGGAAATAAAAACTTACTAACATGGTGAGGTTTAGACATTTTGAAAAGTTGTGGTGAGTTTAAGAGAAACGTTGAAAACTCATGGTGAGTTTTAGACAATTTCCCTTTTTCTTATTAATATATAATGTTTTGATCATTTTTATTGCAAAAGCAATTTGATTCGAATCCGATATAAATGAGATGGATATGATAAGATCTACGTAAATCCAATTAGATTCAATCCATTTGCAAGTCTTTTTTTTAGGGAAAGATCCGTTTGCAAGTCTTGGAACTAAAAATAAGAGGCTCATCGAATTACTAACTTATCATCAAATGGGAATACAAAGAATATGATAATATCACACCTATTTCTTATATTGCCAATCAAAGTCTCTTGTTTGATGAACATTTAAGGAGAACATTCAAAAGTTGTTCTTGCGTCCTATGTAGTTGGAAATATCAAAAAGATCCTTGGCAACAATGTATTCCCATAATCTACATCCAATAACACAACGATGTTGTTGGGAAATTGGGATCACTAAAACTTGGAGAAGCTCTGAGGCGTGTCTGAAGATATTGTATTTAGAACGTTATTTGCCCCCACTCAGTTCCACCGAGTGTGTTGTTAGGTTACAAGCAAATCCATTCACAGGATACAACAGAGCTTTGGGTGAGAGTCTGCAACCAGCAAGGTTGAAGATTCTCTGAAGAAACCTTCTATGAGACAATAGCATATCAAACAGAGATAGACAAAAGTGATTTTCGAAAAGCTTGTATGTGCATTAGCTTGATTCACACTCTTTAAATAATTTCTAGAGTCATGGAGCAAAGAGGAAGGTGATGGTTTAGAAAAGGCTCTTGATCACACCTGATCGAATCGTGATCATTGAAACATCGCGCCACACGGCCCACACCTGATCGAATAGTTGAACAATCACTTTTCAAAGTTACCTCTAAAGCGCCTCATTGCGCTGCAAACATGCGTGTACATGCATTGCACGGTAGCAAACCTCCATACTTTCCTCTTTATTTATAAAGAGTATAAATAAACTCCTATTTTAAAACTTAAAACAAGTTTTATAGTCGGTGGGAGAAGTTGAAAAATGATTTTGATAAGAAAAAAAAAAACTATTTTCAAAGACACATGTGCAAGTGACTTTTTCATGTAATTGATCAATGTGATTAAAATCCAACACGTGTAATGATTCTAAACATCATATCAATGGCTACATTTTCTGGTGGGCCGGATTTTGCGTTGTGTGGACGTGGATGGAGTAGTTTGGTGCAAAGAAAGAGATCAGGTTGTGCGTGCTCGTGGGTTTGAGGTCAGAGTTGGTTGATACCCGTTTAGATTTGTTAACAACTTTCACCGATCAGAGTTGGTTGATTTATTCGATTACTTTTTTCTCTTGTTCCTCTTCTCAATTGATGAGAGAGAAACAAGAGAAAAAGTGACAGAGGGGAGGAGGGAGGAGGTTTCTGGATTTTGATGGAGATTTTGATGAACTGAAGGAGGACCCACTTCACGTTCATCTTCATCTTCATCAACTCCACTCCCTCTTCACACAAGATTCTTCTGTCATTTTTCCTTCGTCTGCGACTTTCTTTTCAATTGGGTTTTCATTGTTTTACCTAATCGGGGACCATTGCCAGCTACCCATCTCTATTTTAACTTTTCTTTCCAAAGATCCATGTTTTGTTCTCCAAAATTCAGAGATTTGAGGGTATGGGTCTAGACCCCGGATCCATCTACATCTTCTCTTGAGATTTTATTGTGTCAGAAACCTATCATATGATAAGGATCTGCCTTCATTTGCTTTGAGTTCTTTGGCTTCATCCTGTAAAATCTCATCCCTTGTCTATTTCCTACACTGACTAACAGCTGTCCTGGATGTCTGTACGGTTTCATCGATGGGCTTCACTGTACCAAGATGCTTGATCAAAGGAGAAGCTTTTTGGTAGTTGTGGAGTTTGGGTTGGTTAATCTAATAATTTCCAATAAAAGCCTTGTCCTCTAAGGTGCATACAGTGATAAAGAGATATCCATCTTTACACAGTATTTTGGACAAGGCCCACTAACAGAGTTCAACAGTGACCATTTTCTTGATAAATTTGTTCAAAGCCCTCCTTCTCGCGGACCTTTTTTTATAATATTTTAGAAGGGAGAGGGAGGGGATTTCTGGGTTTTTTTTTCCCCTTATAAATGGTTATCGTCCCCAATCCCGGTTGGTTTTTCTTAACTGGGTCCTCTTCTTTCATCATTAAGCAGAAAGCCAGAAACTTGATTCGACAAGTCTAACTACGCTTATCTAATGCTTTTCTTCTTGATATCCTGCCTTTCTGTCTTCCTTCTTTCCAAATCTCTTTCTCTCAAACCTCTCGCACCATGGGCGAGTGAGATGAGATTGCTCTCGCTCTGGTTCTGGAAGGAATTATTCTCTTTTCATGTGTCCTGGTTGAGGAAAAGTAAGCTTTCTGATGGTTTATTTGAAATTCCAGCAAGGATGTCTTTAAAGAAGAGTACTAGTTTGCAAGTAGAGAATGTTGAGGAAACAGAGAAGATGTGTGTATTGGATTTGCCTGAATTGGCATTGGAATGCATTCTTGGGAGGCTTCCCCCATCTGGGTTGCGTAACATGGCTGGAGTTTGCATCTCTTTGAGGGACAGATGCAGGAGTGACCACCTTTGGGAGAGACATATGAAGGAGAAATGGGGTAGAGTAATCGGCCGTGCTGCTCACCGCGAGTGGCAGTGGCATATTGCTTCCAGAAAGGATTTGGGCGTGTTGAATAGAACCAAGCAGAAAGGTTTCGTCAGGTCTCTGTCTTCTTTTTGGCCTCTTCCCTGGATTAGGTCGAAGCTCGACAACAGTAACAAGCCAAGAAGTTCTTTGCCTGTTGACTCGGTTATGTCTTGGTACCTTGCTCTCGAGAGTGGCAAGTTCTGGTTCCCTGCTCAGGTCTACAACCGCGAGGTATTGCATTAATACATTGTTTCTCTTTAATCTGTATTCAGTTTTCCCTTGTTACTGAATTATCTGGATTCTTTTCTCAATTTTTTAAGTATCTTTTAATAAATCTATGCTTTAATTGCTTCAGTTTAGCAAGGGTATGTGTGGCTTTGAGCTTTAACTGTCCCAGATTTTTTCTTTCTTTCTCTGTTTTCTTTCATTTGGGTGCTGTTAATCTTAGGTTTCTAGTGTGGTTAGTGGCTATCAATGAGGTTGCCTTGTGCTTAATGCTTACCCAAAGCATTCTGGTGCTTCTTTTGCAGCATGGGCATGTTGGTTTTATGCTGTCATGTTACGATGCAGAGCTTAGCTATGATAGCCGCACAGACACATTTCAAGCAAGGTAGCAGAGAAGTCCAAATTGTCATGGTTCTGATTCTTCAAAGCCTTTTGCTGTTTTTGGTTATAGACAAGAAAATTAATTACATGTTTTCAAGTGGTTTGACTTGGTTAAGTGTATATCAAGTATCAATTTATTTAAAGGCATTGGCCTCTATGGTTGTCTATGGTGAGTTATGGATGCATCTTGACCTTCCAGGTTGTTCTTTTGTTTTATAGATACCCACCACATGGCCGGAGGACAGTTGTGATTGAAGATGGTGTGCAGTGGGATAGGTTAAGAGCACCACCTGTTGATACTCGTCCACATGATCTTCATGTTTCTGACTGTTTGCATGATTTACATCCTGGTGATCATATTGAGATTCAGTGGAGAAGGAATAAGGAGTTCCCATATGGTATGTTCCTTATGACATAACCTTCTGTGCTTTTTGAAATCTCTAGCTTTCTTCATTTTCTGTTTGTATTCATTAACCGGATTTGGTGTTATAGAACCTTACTACGGATGAACATTCTCCTCATGTTGATTTGTTCTATATTTGTTTCAGGTTGGTGGTATGGTGTGGTAGGTCACCTGGAATCCTGTGATGGGAATGAGAATCACTGCCATTGTTATTACAGTGGTAAGATAATAAAAAAATTCCCATTTTCTGTTCCTTTTCTTTTTCTTTCAGCTAGATCTATTTTCCATGAGCAACAAACTTCTGTGGAAGAATGACCTCAGAAACAGAAAATTTACAAGCACAGGATGTTTCCAGCATACAAAGATATTTTTAATGAAAATTTTATGATACAGTAACATGTTTTGTTGTAGTGGTACCACAAAAGTTGCACACTGTGCGGTACTGTGAGATTGTAGATATTTCATCCTATTTGTGCAACATTTGTAGTGTTATTTAAATGTTGCACCCTCTCTTTATGCAACATTTACAGCCTAAGTGTAAGTTAGTGCTGTGAGAAACATCTATTCACTGAGTGTGCAGGATTGATTTACTAGAAAACATGTTTCTGTGATGTAGAATTTGTTTGTTTATGGTTAAACTCCTCAACCAATTTATTGTAATATCCAGTAATTTAATTTACATCAGACGAATTTGGCCGGTCCCTGTCTTCAAAACCATCTAGCCACTATTTAGGGATCTCCTTCTCTATCTACTGCCCCACTAGACAAAAGTCAATACCTCAAAACTCTCTCCAACAACTTTGTAAGTTCCATTCTAGAATACTGAAGGCTGATCAGACTGGAATTTATTTTCCATGTTTCCCTTATTATCTCTGAATAGACAATCTTCACTTGTTCACCAGATGGCCTTGCCAGTTAAACTACCAGACTAGTATCATTTAATCTCCCAATCCAACTTGAGGAAGAATCACAGTGCAAATTAAAATTGGTTCTTATTTCAATAAACTAAGTAGCTTGAAATCATGATCCTTGGATACAGATACAAAATTTCACTTGGTCTATCCATTAAACTATAAAAAAGAAAACCCAAGCAGTTTTTATAGGCTGTATCTTGTTCTTATTTTTTTTTTTTTTTAACTTTAGCTCCCTATAAGGCTCTTTAGTTCTCAATTCTAGTTCTTTATTCATGTAGAAATGGGCTTTTGCTTTTCGAATACACATCCAATGTTTTAGAGATAAAATAAAGACTCTTGTAAACTAAAATTTAACATTCTTTCATTGCTTATTGAATACACATCCAATGTTTTAGAGAACCCTATTGACTGAAGAAGAATTTTAAGTTCTGGCCTAGTTGCTCTTGCTCCAGGTGATGGATAATTGCTACATTGTTTGTCCAAGTGATGTTGGATTCCACATGAGTGCTGAGTCTTTAATTCTTGGACTGAACTATAATCTAGAGAAGAAATATCTCTACACGGTCTCTAGTTAAAGGAGACCTTTGACTTTGCCGCCATACAGTTAAGGTAAATCAACTAAGATTCAATTTGATCAGGTAAAGGAATTTCCTAAAGTGCCACCCCAGAGATTGCTTGGGGTGTTAGATTTCCAATGACTGCTATAATATATTCCTTGTAACTTTTGGGGAACAAGGATCCTGGTTTTTATGACTCATGACCTATATGTATTTACTTTGGAGAACTTGGTGACTCTTTGGTAGTTTCTAGACTACCAATGGTGAACCAGTACATGTCAGCACATGTGGCTGTTGGAAGAACCCAACATTCATCAATGTCTACCTATAAGCATCCTTCCACAATCCACAGGCATTCTTCTGGAATGCTTTCTCTTATTCTTTTCTTCTGACATCTGAAGAGACCTAGCAGATATAATTCTTATGATTATTCAATCAAGTCAAATTAACGCACAAAAATCTCTCCCAGGCATGACTATCAAATTATGATCCATATGCAGATCAAACAATATGCCATTGTCAAAACTCAAACACCCAGCATATGCCTAGTTACTCGAAAGATAAATTCCTTCTTGACTAAGATCTCTCCTATTCTATATATTCTTGTTTCTGGTCATTTTACCCTCTTTTCTATCAATAAAATTTTCTTCATTATTTTCTAAAAAACAAAAAAGATCTGATTTCTTAATTTGTCCAGTACTGTAACTCTTGATTGGCTGGACATTTGATTGTCCTTCTTACAGACTCATGCTGAAATGCTGACAGATATTGTCATTCTGGAGTTCAACCAGTACGCACCTGGATCACGGTGGAGGCAAGCAGCCATAAGCAGGAAGGATCATCGAGAAGAAGGCAATGAAGCAGATGGGTTTTATGGAGGAATCAGGAAAATTTACTGTGAGGAGGAGATCTCAACATGGAAGCGGCTCTGGCCAACAGAGGTCTTGGAATAGTGAACATAGATAGTATGTTTCCAACTCTATGTAAGAGGATCATTGGTTCAATAGAGAAAATAGAGATTATGAATCACTAAGGAGGTTCTTAGGGGTTGAAGTTAGGCTTCTGATTTAGTTGGGTGGCTGTGGAGGCCATATTTTTTATTTTTTTTCTGGCCGGCAGAAATTTACAGCTGTTAGATGTGACTCCGGTCCATGCAAAAGTGCCCCTATTTTCTTGATTTGAGAATAATATATATTGTACCATATTTACCACGGTATATAAAGCTCACCTATTTTTTATTATGAAACTGGAGAAATCCTTCCTGTTTTCCACTATTAAATAAAAATGGTACTATAATCATTGTGGAATAAAATTTTTCTTAATATTCCAATACCTATGGTCTCACAAGGGAGAAAATTATGTAACCATGTTTCTGGGTTTCTCTTAACTATGTGATATAACAGGCAGCATATGTTGCATTTTAAGCAAGCTGCAAGCTTAACTAGTGAAACATCATGAGGAAGATTATTTTTCCTTTTTCTTTTATTTTGTTCCATACATTCTTGCAGTCCTATAGGTATCTCTCACCTTTCTGCTCCTCTAGTAGAGCCGTCATGACAATAATATTTCGTAAGAACGAATGCTTATGCTATCACTACAAGAAATATGACCTTTACCTATGGACAAAATCGTAATTAAAGGTCATAAAAACCATAACTAGAGAGACTTATAATTATGGTTTAGTTATAGATAAAAAGCCATAGCCTGTGTTCGCGTGGCTATAGCCTATAGCTACAGTTTAATTAATTTGTGGTGATAGTCCATCTATAGTTACGATATCTATTTAGGACAATGCAAACCATATAAGCCTTTTACCCATGGGCTAAACCGTAACTAAAAGATGCATATAATTACAGTTTAAATTTTTTGTAGCTATATATCCAAATTTAAAACTACAGATTTTCACAAAACCGTAGCTAAAGTTTTTTGTTTATAGCCACGATTTATTACAAAACTGTAGGTAATTTACCAATTTATAACCATGATTTTTCTTTTCCTTTTTTTTTTTGCCAAAATCGAAGCTAAATACTTAACCTATAACTACTACTTTTTTGATAAACCGTAGCTGAAAGATGCATTCTATAACCATGGTTTCTTACAAAATCATAGCTAATTGCTTTAATCTTTAGCTACGGTCTTTAACAAACCACGGCTAAAAACTGAAATCTATAACCACAATTTCTTACAAAATCGTAGCTAATTACTTTAATCTATAAATACGGTTTTTTTTTATATTTTTGAAAAACAGTGGCTATATTCCAATTAAAGTAGCAAAAAAAATAGCAACAATTGGAACCACCACTTAGTTTAAAGCAATACATGTTTCATTCATATAACACATGGAAATTGTATAATTTCTAGAAAATGATTATATTATTGTGATAAGAAATTACATGCCATGTATAATTTGAATACATCATTGTTTAAAATGTATTACAAATGTCAAATTTTCCTTAATACATATTGAAGTCTATATGACCTTAAAAAAAGAGAGAAATTTTAAATATAAAAGAATTATCCATTGTCTTCAGCCATGCTTTGAGAGTCACTCATTGCATGTTTAACCTACAAAGAAAAACCAAAAATAAAATTAGAATATTGATTACTTTGTTGATCTAATTAATGTGCAATATGCAATGAAAAAATGTAAAGTAAGCCAAGTCATAAAATCCAATATACAATGACAAAATGCAAGATAAATTTTGAATTTCTAATTAAATGTGTTTGGCGACTGAAAAATTTGTGGACATGGAAGTCCGGGTCAAGGATGAAAAAGAAAGGAGGGAGGGGAGGGGAGTCAATAGAGAGAGGAGTTAAAGAGGTTTCAGGGGAAAATAACACTGAGAAGGGGAAAGTCTCAGCACTTTTTTTTTCTTTTGAGAAGGGAATGGGCGGTGAAGAAGGTAATTGAACACTTAGAAAAAAAAATAAAAGGGAAGAATATAACAAAAGAAAGCAGTTGGGGAAGGGGATGAGGTTTGGAAGGAAAAGGGTGGGAAGAAGAAAGTTTTGATGGAGAGTGAAGGAAGGTTGTTGAAGAGTTCTCAAGAAGGGGGAGAATGATGAAAACTAAGTTGATGATGGTGTCTTGGTATCATGGCTGTTTGGGCATCTCCTATTCTTGATTTCCAGAATTTTGTCAAGTTATTGATTAGGCTCTTTGGGGTATTCTTGGGGAAGTTTGGAGTTTTAAGATTGTAACTTAGTTTATTTTGAATTGTTACTGGGAAAATTGTAATTCCTTAGTTTGCCTGGAAGTGTTGCCTTAAAACTTATCTAGGTTATATTTTTTCCTTTTAATGAATTTTATTTTAGTCTTTAAAATAATTAGATAATAAAACATTTAAGAATATAATGACCAATGCAAATTCTGCTTCAGCTGTTAAAAAACGTGCAACTTATGTAATTTATACGCAATAAGATAAAGCAACAAGCCATTCAGTTCAACCACTTCAACAAGCCTAAAACTTATCACTGTGACAGCTCTGCTTAGTTATATTGCATGCCTATGGCATCATAACTAGTGTGGTTAGTCATATTACCTAGAATGGCAGAATCTTTTGTTTATCACGATCATAAGCAGTAACTTCACAGATAAGAACAAATAATTTAACAAAGGACTTCTTCACTCTGCACTACCAACAGAGGTTAAAGATCATAAATACCAATAGACAACTTTTTGAAATTGAACCAATTACACAAAAAATACTATTATGCATCATATAAATGACTTAAGGTGCAGAACCTAAATACCAGTATGCACCAGCTATTAAAGAATCTACCCAGTTATCATAGAAGTGAGGCTAAAGATAATAAAGCAATCTATATACATCATAGACATGACAAATGGGTACAAATCTAACTAGTTGTAGGCATCCCACAGATTATCTAGCACCAAGCATGGAATTAACAAAGGTACCTATCCAGTAGCTCTCTTTGCACAATATTTAACTTCAAGAATGGTATGTTGTGGCACTAAAATCAAAAAATTACTGACCCATGTAAATACTAGGATATGATGCAGAGGAACTTAACTCTTCACTAGAATAGACCTATGTCTCCTGCACTTAATCCTCAGCCTTACAGTTCATCTGATTTTATCCCTACATAGACATGAAGGCTAAATGATGGGATTTAACTTTTTTACCAAGTGGATCAAGAAAGGTTTAACTCCTTCAAGCTATTCTCTACAAGGTTTCCATGTGGTTATGTCTTTTAAAGGATAAAAGTAATAGTGGTCTATGTATTGTTATTCACTTGTATGGCTATTTGCTTCTTCTCATAAAGGCTTCACCTAAGTTTTTAGAATGATAATCATCAAGCATAAATGACTGATCTAGATTTATCAAAGAGCATACCTTTACTTCCACTTCTTAGAAATCTAGATTTATCAAAAACTCCTTTCACTCAACCACAAGTGAACCATCAATAAAATATAACTAATTCAAAAATCAACCATAAATGACTGATCTCAAGTCACCTTACCCCTTTCAGGCTCCTATATGCCTCACCAGTTAGGAAGGGAACATGTCATTTTCCACAAAGAAGCATAAGAAAACAAGGTTCATGCATTCAGAACCACCATTTGGGAGTAAAATCAGAAATACATTGGGGCAAGAAAACCAACCTGATCAAACGATTCGAGTTTTCTTTCCCTCTCTCTTTTACCACTCCCTAGGTTGGTCCGATTTGTGAGTATAGTGCCCAAAAATTCCTTCCATGTCTTCAAAATAAGGATAAGGAACATGTAAATGGATATGTCTGAAGTAACCACATCTATTTGGGCAAGCACATCAAAAAGACACAGCAAAAAGAGATTAGTTATGACTTATAAGAATATACTTTCTCATAAGAAAGGCAAATTTCTTGTAAGGACACATAAAAAATGAAATCAAGATAGAAAAGTGACAAATCAGAATTAAAATGAGCAATTGCCCGCATAAAGCAAACTAGGATTTAGAGAAAACCTTGTAGAAAAAGATCTACCTAATGCAAACTGAACCAGGGGACAGGTGTAATTAGATACAATATATCTTTTGAAATATCAATGCCTCTGGCAATGCCTTATTTAATAAGCATCAAGTAATCACAATGCCTTATTTAATAAGCATCAAGTAATCAACTTTCCAGCACCCTAGTTGTAGACATTCTATTAGCTTTTGTGGCTGCTAATGGCAACAACTTAGGGTGCTGGAAAGTTGATTATGGGAGAATAAGAGAAATCACATAGGAGAAAATGACACAATATCTATCTCCGTGTATTTTCAATTGGTCCCACCTAACACAAAGCCTTGAAGTCAAGCTAGAAGATCCGACAGCTATGAGTAATTGAAAATTAATCTATGCAACACGGCTTCAATATCTTCATATGCTATTTGATTGATTTTTTGAGAAGCTCCATTCAATGATGGGTCATGGGTGTGGTCCAATATTCCAATGAAAATCGTCATAAATAGATGATCTCAATTTATAAGTTTATTTCTTTTTGTGGACATTGAGCTAGATGAGAATGTGATGAAATCAATGGATAAGATAAATGCAGGTAATCACTTGTACCCTTTGCATATCTTGGATTTGAAGTACCTTTCCTTGTTAGTTACATCTGGAGTGGAAATAGAATTGAATTCTACTTCCATCTAAATTCAAATGTCTAACCCCTATGAATTTTAAATTCCACTTAAACCCACAATTGAATGCCTAGGATCTCCTTTTCAACTAATTGGAATTACTTAAATACAATAGGTCACTTTTTGACTTGAAAGTTAAAGTTTAACCAAATACCTGATGGAAAAAAATTCATGTCCAAAGGATAGATTATCCACCCTGTAGAGCATGATGTGAAACTAATCCATGAAGCAAAATCCGAGCTATTTTGCTAAGCTCTGCAAGATGTCAAAACATCAACTAATTGGAATTACTTAAATAGTCCGAATAGACAAAAACAAGAAGACTGGAGCAAGCCTTACCCCAAAGTGAATTTAAAAAAGAATTCTTAATCAAGCACCTTTATAGAGAATCTAAATCCACCGAGCAAACTTGACTTCCCAAGCAATCTTAATTTAGAATATATTCACAAAATATGCACAGAAGTTTCAGAGAAACAGGAAGAGATTTTCTTTTAATCATTCAAGTGATTCAACTTGCTAGAACAATGAAATTTTCATCCAAGTACAACAAAACAACGGCAAAGCAGAAGTCCAAAGGAAAAACAATAAATATTAGTTTTACCAGAAATGGAGAACACGCACTATTTTGATAAACCCAATTCACTTGAGAATAATAACTTCATAAAATCAAAATATGGGCTCCAATGGTCCTCATCTTGCATAAGCTCTACTATAGCCTTCAAGGATTAAATCGATGTTAAAGTGGAGAGGCTGACTCAAATGCTAAAACATAGTGGATTGATTAACTAATAATGGCGTTAATGGAAAGATCTCTTCACAGAAAGGCAAATACGACTGAACGACAACGGATTGGGTCTTTTGGCTCCCTTTCAAGAGGACCTCTATTGATCGGAATAGTGCTCTCTTTGGTCACGTTTCTGATGTTAACATTCATTGGGATGTCTCGACTTATCTTGAGAACGACATCTGAAGTTCAAATAGAAGATGTGCAGGGACTACAATCGATGATGGTTATAGCAAAGGAAGGGTTTGTTGATCTGAAAGATTGAGAGATAGAAGAGACTACAGGATAGGAGTTCAACGGTGTTTCAACAACCTAGGGTTCATTCATAGAGTGAGAGAGGGGGAGATGTTTGCAAGCTCGAGCAATAGGTTCTTGTGTTCTTGACAGAATGAAAGAAATGAGGAGGGAGGAAATTTGACGGAGAAGAGGGAAATTTTCGCGCTAGAGATAGTGGTGATAATGGACTGGACTCGGACAGGGTCGGGTTCGGGTTCGGGTTCGGGGTCGAAAAACCAACCAAATTTGAATATCATATTATAATATTTACGTATAAAATAGATTATATAATATGAAATGCTATATGTACATAAGTATACATTATTTATAATATACATATTTGCGGGCCAGGTCAGCCCAAGGTGGGTTTAAAATACTAGGCCTAGGCCCAACCCTAAAATTTGTGGCTTTGATAAGGATCCGGACCCTGAACAGACCTGAACACAAAACCTAGGTTTAACCTTAAAATTTGTGGATCTCAGTTTTCTTTTACTATCAACAATTTAACCATTCGGATCAAATAGGTCATCCATGACTTGTTACTAGTAGTGTATAATGTTCAAAGAATCAGATCAGGCATTGAACTAGAAAAAAGAGAGGATCATGAGTTAGTAGTTCAACCAAGGTTGAACCATGATGACATAATATTATATATATATATATATATATATACATATATACATATATACAAAAATATCCTACTATAATATTAATTATATACATTTATACAAATATACAATTATATCCTACTATAACATGTATCTTTTATTCTACTTTGAATTTTTTTAATATAAAAATAAGGATTTGAGGCCAAAAAAGGTGTTTCTTGGCAAAAATAGTAGGGTAAGGTGCCTTCCGCACTTTGGAACAAGCAGATAGCAAAAAGTTACCCAAAATACAAAAAAGAAAAAAAAAATTGCCCAAATAGGACAACTAAGTGCAAAGTTATAGCCTCCAAAAGATTACATACAAGGTAATTTGAAAGTGATAATTAAAAAAGATGAGTGGTTACACAAAACTAGGACTAGTCCATTGGTTCCTAGGTTGGACCAGCTAGGTGGACGGTTTTGGCCAATTTTTGGGAGAAAAGGTTGGGTCATGGTTTAACTATAGTATTAGCCGATCTGGTCCAGCTTTCTAAACATTGGTAGTGTATATATGTTTTATTGTATATAGATTAAATAATATGGTTTTCGAAATATATAAAATAATATATATATATATATATATGTTTAATTTATAACTTTTATTTTTGTTTTTAATCTTTTATAAAATAAGCTAAAAATTATATTGAGGCAAAAAGGAATTTTTGGTAAAATGGGTAAGCTAAGGTGCCTTCAGCCCATGAAGTGCATAAATCACAAAAAGTTGCCCCAAAATTAAATAAAAAATATCACCCTAATCTGACCACCAAGCACAAAGTTATGGCCTTTCTTGCTATGTAATATCAAATGCTTATGCTATGTTCTTCCTAATTTGACATGAATGGGGACCTTTGTATTGTAAGACAGATATTGGGGCTATTTTTTGTTATGCAAATATGGTCCTTATACTGCTGCCTCACCACAATATGCAAAAGTTTTTGTAAGGTTTTGCAATTGGAGAATGTTGTTTGACAACAAAAGAATTGGAGATTTCTAACCTGATCATTGAAAGCGATTGTGGAGCAATAGTAAGTGCCATAAACAAGAAATCTTTTGATTATAGCAAGGATGCTTGGCATATTATAGTGGACATCATCAAGCTTGTCAATCCCAAGATATCATTCTCATAAAAGATGGGAATAAGGTGGCTCATGAGTTGGCATATAATGGAATCAATAGCAATCTTCACTCATTTTATCCCTCAAGTGTTAGTGCAGTTCGTACAAGAGAGAACACAACAGATTTGGGGTGTGTCTAATGTGTCGACCACACCCAGAAGAGGCTATTTATATTAAAAGATGTAAATGGACACTTTTATACTTATAATACAATAAGTAATGTACAAGGTAAAAAGAATAGAAAATGAATATTACAGAAAGAAAGCAAAATCATAATTCAGCCCTCACTATCTCTGTCTCTAGACTCCTCAACTTGATGGCGTTACCATCAATTTGTCTATTAGAAAGGGATGTCGAGCCCTAATCATAGCCTTTGTGAAAATATTTGTCAATTGAAGAGTAGAGGATATGAGGCAATAAAATGTTGTCGGTAGTAAAGAGATATCTTATAAAATGACAATCCACTCCAATGTGCTTTATCTTTTCATGGAAGACAGGATTAGAAGCAATTTTGATTGCGCTTAGATTGCCAACCAATAAAGGAACAAAAAAGGACTAAGCAATATTAAGATCATGTAGGAGTAACTAGAGCCAAATAATCTCACTACACAATGAGGACATGGCTCTATATTTTGCTTCAATGGATCACTTGGAAACAGTTTGTTGCTTCTTATATTTCCAAGATGTAAGAGAATCAACAAGAAATATGCACCACTCAGTGCTAGATCTTCTAGTATATGGACAACTACTCTAATCAACATCTACATAAGTAGAGAGCTGAAGTGGTGAGGCGGATGGAAAGAACACACCATAGGAAACTGTCTCCCAGATATATCTAATGATACAATATACTACTATCATGTGATGTTGACAGGGAGCATAGACAAATTGACTTACAATCTAGATTGCATATGAGATGTATGGGTGTGTCATTGTGAGATATATAAGGGTGCTCACAAGCTGACGATACAAGGTGGCATATTCTAAAGGAGGGCCATCATCCTTTCTTAACTTCAAATTAACTTCCAAGGGGTATCAACAACCTTTGAATTACTGAGATGAACAAGGCTGACAAGGTCAATGACATATTTTTGGTGATTAAGGAAGTAGCAACTAGAATTGTGATGAACTTCCAAGCCCAAGAAATATGTAACTTGTCCTAGATCTTTTTGAAGGGATGGGAGATCCATCATATGGCCGAACCATGCAGGGTGGTTAGGCAAAATTTCAAAAAAATTTTTCTCCTATCCGGGAATCCTTTTCCCTAATTTCGAAAAACTGCATTTTTCAAGATTTGTTCTTGAAACAAATCGGACCAAATCAGAAACCAAGGTTAGGGAGAGCAATACCTGATACAGAATCCACGCAAAAAGATCCTTCCAACGTAAGTGTTCATGCCTAAAGAGGGTACCAAATCCTTTCTCTACTGAAAATGACAGCTTAGGGTGAGGCAGGATCAACAAGTGGATTCTTCAGCAAGAATTGTGTAGGGATGTGAGTACAACTTCAAAATTGTTTCTTCCACCAAGAAACAATATCAAAATTTAATCTTGATCACTCCAAGAGGTGGAGATCGAATAGGGTAAGGCATAAAGAGTAGAGGGAAAGAGAACTGGAAGTAGAAAGCAGTAGAATTGTGTAACCCTTTTTCAGTTTGCCCTCCTCCTTTATATAGACCTTAAAGAGTTAATCTCCTAATCTGACTAGGAGTTTCTTGACCCAAATCTTTATTTGGATCTAGACTCTTTAAGTGATAAGGCTTATCCCTTATCTTATCTTATCTACAGATTAAGATCAACTACTACTAATCAAATAAGAAGTTTCTTGATCCAAATCTCTATTTGGATATGGACTCTATAAGTGGATAAGAGTTATCCTTTTATCCTTATCTACTGATCCATACCCAGATTCTCCCCCTATTTAATTAATCCAATTAACCCAATTCGAAATGGGCTTTAGACCCATTAAGCTATTAGGCTCACTTCCTTTTAATGCTGGCTAGCTTTGCTCTCTTTGTATAGCGTGGGACCCTATCATTGATCTCCACATAAGCCACATGGGTTCAACCTGGCCTCTGTTACAAGGCTTGGCCGAATTCACTTCTGAATACAGTGAACCCCCTGAGTCCATCAGTATGGGCTCTTAATGGGCCCAACATTTACACTAAATGGTCATTGGGTCCATCCATCTTATGAAGGCCCAAGGACTGTGGGTAGATGTGAGATTAGCCAATTAGGTTTATTATCCCTAAATAGTCTTACACTTAACCTCTCAGCCCTTAATGATCAAACACTGCCCGACAAGAGAGGACCTCTCCCTCGGCTACAAGGTATAGTGTTTCACTCTCTACTTACATGGATCCCGGGAATTAAAACCTTTTTGCAAACATTTTGTGAAACCATAAAATATATGTATATCTTTATATAAATATATTTTGAAAAAACAAATTTCAACAAGTTTGAAATCAACTACCGACAATTTAGGTTTCCATCAGAGAAAGTGCATTCCCTGATCATTCACTTTGTCCGACAAAGGGGCTGATCTTGTCACTATGATCACCCACTCAGGTGAATTCTTAGACTACCGCAACATACCCAGGTTTTGACCCCCTCTAAGGATTTCACTAATTAGCATATCAAAGACAGCCTAATTCAGCACCTAGTGTAACACCATAATCGAGTCTAGGGGTCAGGTGTAACATTCCAATTTTGCCCATCTATCTCCAAGGTCTAGGGCAATGCTAGAATTTGGTCCGGTTCACGGTTTCAGGCAAACCCACACACTACATGTACCTCAGGTCTCACCCTAACAGCTGAGACAAGCCACCCCAACTAACTTGGTAGCACATTAGTATCAACATTGGTAGGATAAATCTCCCCAGATCTATCCAACGGCTATGAATATTCTAAAATAACTCGAGTCTCATATGTGTCCAGTTTAAGGGTATTACATAGAAACACACCAATATAACATGAATCAAATATGTACTTTATTCATTTACAATAAATGTCATAATATACATCAAACTAATTGGAGCTAAGGGCATACACTTCCTAACACTTTCATCTTATAGGATTGACTAAGAAGGTGTTTGAGTTGGTGTATACCATCTTAATCATCTCCAGTTATGAGAATATCATCAACATATAAGAGCAACATTGTACTACTCTAAGAATGTTGTGATGTAAAGAGAGAATAGTTTGAGGAGCTCTGAATCAATCCAACATCAGTGATCACAAAACTAGGTGGGGCTCATCTCAATAACCAAGAGAAGGTTTCATTTAGACAACCTCCTTTAGATCCCCATGCAAGACATCATTCTTTACATCCATTTGGTGAACAACCCAATTCTGGACTAAAAAGATAGCCAG